TATATGTACATGTTTTTGAATTTTATTTTTTGAAATGTCAAATTTTTGTTTCAAAAATTATATATCGAAGTTACCTTAAATTTTGACATTTGTTATTTTAGTGTTTTGTTTTTTTTTTTGGTCATTTTTTGTCAAAATTTTTAGAAATTTATAAAAATTATATATTTATATTTCAAATTTACTTTTCAAAATTTCCTATAACCTAAGTTGGATATATATACACACGATGAGCCATTAAAATTTAAAATCGGTTCAGTAGTTTGGGCGTCCATCGCGAACCAACATCGTGACACGAGATTTATATATAAATATATATATATATATATAGGATCTTTTATCTATTATTCTGTGATAAACGAGTCTAGCTCGCTTATGCAACATAATAAATAAAGAGCTCTCAGGTTGCATTTTATTTATTTCAACATAAATGAACACTTGAACTCTTTCCGTCTGTGATTTATTTATGATACAAGTAGGAGTTTCAACATCTATCAGGAATTTTTATTATGATACCGACGTTGCACTAAAATAACTACGGATATAATATATAAATATACTAGATGACCCGACAGACGTTGTCCTGTACCCATGTCTACAATTCACAAGTTCCAATTTTTTCAATAACCTGTACTGATATTTACCAATTAGTTAAAAATTATTTTATTTTTTTACACTACAGTCTATACCGAAATGTATATACATCCATATGGGTGATCTTAAATGTACAACTGCTTTAAATAAAATGATGAGCCTCAGAACCCACACTTAACTCTTGAGATGTAGATGTAGATGTATAAATAAATGATTTTTTGTTTATTCACGACTAAAACATCGATTTTCCAAATTTATCACACAAAAATTCATCGTCTGCCTTTGTGATTAATAGCACAATATATACGTATTGGAAATTGCAGTCTTTTAAATTGTATAACAAATTCAAAAAAAATTAATATATAGCATTCGCGATAAACGTACAATATCACCTTGAATGTTTCTACCCAAAACAATTGCTTCAAAAATATAGCCTATGATTTTTATAATTACGTACCATATTTTAACTGGCTTTTAGTAATTTACGATCTAAATTAAATTTTTTTCACTAATAGTTCAATATACATTATTACTTAAGTTTATATTTGAAGTGAATTAATTTATCAAATCCTGTTCGCATGTGCTCTAATCAACCTACGATCAACAAAATTATTGCGGTAAATGGAGAAGAAAAAAGCGTGTGTCGGAAATAGGCTAATATTTATCTTAAGTTCAGAAGTGAAAACAATTTGCACTCCTTCACCACCCACTGGATTAATTGAATTATAACTCTTTTAATTCTGATTTTATCAGTACTTGCAATACACTATTTTAAAGGTAGTTAAATAAGCTTACAGCTTTCTCTATCATAAATTTTACCGAAACTTCTCTTATTTTGAAATTGCAAAGGATTGAAGGACTCGAAAGACACTCTGGTTGGACACTATCAATATTTGTGTAACAGAAAATTCAAAAAAAGCAATAATTGGTCAGAAAAAGACCTTGAATTTTCATTTATATACCTTTATACGTATCTTTTCTTTTTTTAAATAGATTTTTTTTCATGAAATCATGAGCTTTTTGGAAATCCTTTGCACTAAAGTTTTGGTAATTTCTAGAATCGGTCAAGATCTCTTAAACCAAGTTGATTCTAGAGGGAATACGATCATTTTACACGCAGAAGTACTCATTTTAAAGCCTATTTTGAGTACTAAAAAACCCCATTTTCATATCTAGCCTAATATTGTTCCTAGAATAATTGATGGAACACCAATTTATTATTTTATTATTAACAAACTTCAGAAAGATTTATCAAAATCCGGATAATCGTTTAGGAGAAGTATTCTTTAATTCATCATTACAGAATAATTATATATATATATATATATATATATATATATATATATATATATCATAAATCTAACATAATATCCTATGCTATATTAGGATACAAAATTTTAATTTGATTACCACTGAATGATGGCTAAGATACTAGCCGAAATGTATGGATTTTAAATAAATAAACTTAAAAAAAACTCTCATACTATTTTTATTGATGTTTCGCCCGAATATTAAACTCAAATTAAACATATATATCAACATCAAATTCAAGACTATTCAAATATATATATATTTATATATATAATAATCCAAGTTTTACACTTGGCACAGAAAATGACTTTATGTATAATTTTGCGATATTTTAGCATTTCTTTAAGTTTTGCACTGATATAAATTTGAACGAGTGCCAAATCATGAGATCCAAGAGCACATCCTTGTTATGTTAATAAAAAATAAATAAATGAGTAATATAAATATAAATACATGATAATTGATGGATATTTTATAAGCATTTATAATTATAATGAGATAAAATATTGTTTTTGAAACAATAATAGAATTAATACAAATACATATATGTAATTGTATGCTCGGTAAACATGGCTGTATTTTTTTATTATATGTATATATATATATATATATATATATATATATATATATATATATATATATATATAAGTTATAAGAAATAGTAAGATATCGAGTTAGTTGTGTTCTAAGAATGTAGCATCTATTGTTAAATAACCAAAAAGTTATCAATAAGTAACAAATCTGTAGATATAATTTCAATAGTAAAGTCTTTACGTCAAACAAAGTGTTACTACTTTATTCGTTTGAAAATCTTCAATTCAATTTAATTTCTATATTTATGCTCTTTTTGGAAACTAATTCTAGAGTGTAAGAATATGAACTTTCTTAATTTATTACAAAGAAAAGAAATTTCTTGTTGTAAAAATCCTGGAGCAGACTAGTGAACCAGCATGAACAATATCAAAGACTGATATTAATCGAAAGTAGACTTTGTAAACAGTTTGATGAAATTACATAGAAATTGTCTTCTACAAACTCTTAACATCCAACTTAACAATCCATTCTGATGCATTAAATAAATGCAGTTGGAGTAACCAGCTCCAATTGCTAAATCGAAACTGTTGTATTCCATTATAGGGGCAAAAATTATTGAAGCTCGATTGGGATGTTTTGCCAAATCAACAATACAGACCTAACCTCTTGCACAATCTGATTACTTTATGTTTCGATTTACAAAACTCCTTGAATGATACAAATTTCTATAATGTTAAATTGTACCTGTTACAGTTTTTTTGGTAATGAAGACCATAAGTTTTATGAACATGGCTGCTTGAAAGAATATGAAAAGTTGTGATCAAAGTAGAAAATATTTTTTAGAATACAATACCATGTGCATTTTCATATTTTTACATCCTTAGCCATAAATTTAAAAACAGTACCTAAATATGAACAACAATACATTTAGATTACATGCTAAATCTTCATAATAAGATGAACGAATTATAAATTTTACATACCTTCATATCAAGTAGAACAAAAAAAACTATTTTACATACAAATTAACTATTGAATACACATTACAGTACTATAATACAACATGGAGAGTATTTTAATTTACATTTTGCACTTTAATAAACATTTCACTGTGTTTAAACAATTATTTAAAAATGCACGAAAACATTAACAGCCATTTTGACAGTTCGTTCTATTAAGCAAGAAGCGCAGCTAACTTCATTGTACTTATGGAGCTGTCAAAATAATTATTAATATTTAAGTTAATATATTGATGTTAATATATTAATTATAAATGCATATAATACTCTTCTTTTATCTATGATTACAGATGTTTGTTCGGAGATTACGGGCCATGTTTTTAAAATTGCACAAAAACATTAAAAGCCATTTTGACAGTTCGTTTCTTTTAAAGCAAAATGCGTAGCCAACTTCATTATACTCCTGGGGCTGTCAAAATAATTTAATTTACAAAACACAAACAAAAATATTATTAAAGTTAATATATTAATTATAAATGGATTAATTATTAGTACTATATGTTGCAATATTTTCCTTGTATTGAATTTACTTTTTAGCACAGGTTTTGTATGGAAACCATATAAAATTAACAATTCATGCAGTTGAAGGTAATAATAAATAATGTAACTTCATTACTCTTGTTTTGTTTAATTGTGATTTTAATTTTAATTAACTAAAAAACAACAAATTTCACTCTTTTATGTTCTTAAGCATTTAGTATTAATCTTACATATAATCATGTAGACCTTATATACCAACACTTTCATTATTGTTATTACGTGTGTAGATAGTATTCGTCTCTATTATCATATTACATTTCTATTTATTTTTCTAGTGCAAAGATGTCAGAACCAAGTCCAAAACCCAATAAAATAGGAACTGAAACCAGCATTCTGCCTCAAGGCGAGATATTTATGAAAACAGAACCAAAATTAAAATTGTGTCAACCTCAATTGATGCCTTTGAAATGTCTCACTTTGCAAATGCTGGAATCGATGCAGAAACTGAGGAAAACATCTCAAAGTTGAAACTGAAACATCATGTAACTCAATTTAAGGAGAAAAATGCTAATAAGAAGGTGGACAATTGTTATTGTCTTGTGTCCGACTGTGGTATTAAGATAAAATTTAGAAGTTGTCAAAGTGTGTACAAATAAATATGTATAATAAATATTCTAATATATATTAATCCGCATTCTGATTATCTAGATTTATATAATTTTAACTTAAAACAAGTCAGACTCTAGTCTAATACTTCAAAATCAGAAAAATAGTTGTTTTTTCATAATCATTTGTTTAAAATTTACAAAAAATAGTAACAAATATTCAAAAATAAAATTCCTTGTATTTATAATAAATATTACAATTCAAAATTAAAGATTTATTCAAATTATCGATATTTTATCCCTGTATCGATATTTTTGCACAATTTAACATTTGACACATTTTTTGACAGTTATGACACACCGTGTTCCTAACCAAGAATTTAAAGTTTGTTTATTTAAATAATTATATATTTAATAAACATATTAATAAAAGAAAATAGCTGAAATTGTTATTAGTTAGTCACTAACTACAAGTAATGTTGTAAATTTATAAACAATTGTAAAAGAGGTTAGAATTATTTTAAATTGTGCAAAAATGGAGTTAGATATTTGGCGAGCCGATTGGGGCTTACGCTCTGTAGATATAGATTGTCTGAGAGTTTTGGTAAGTCAATAAAACATAAAAAAACTTACATTTACATAATTTTTGTATGAACTTTTTTTTATCATCAGGTGTATTCAAAAATTATTGGTTGTCCCTTGAAAATATGTGAAACAAACAACCCATTTAGAAGTCCTAAAGGTCAGTTACCTGTTTTGAGAGATGGACGTAAAAGGTTCTGTGGTTTCGATGATATAAGGAGTTATTTAAGCTCTCAGGTTTGTTCATGAACATCCTACGGTTTCTGTAAATATAATAAACGTTTTCTTTGATGCAGGGATATGGTTTGGATAGATCAGTAGAAACTTCGGAGCATAGTAATGCTGTAGCATATCATGAGCATATTAAAACAAAACTACTACCAGGTAATAAATTAATATATATATATATATATATATATATATATATTTTGTAGAGTTTCGAACAATATATATATATATATGTATATAATATATATATATATATATGTATATATATATATATATATAGATATATATATATATAAGTATTTGATAATTATAATTACAGGTTTGCAGTACGTCTGGTGGATTGATACAAAGAACTACACAGAATTTGTCAGACCCTGGTACGCCAAAGCACTGCCTCTCCCTTTAAATTACATATATCCTGGCAGGTACGAACGCCAAGCCAAGGCTTACATGGAAATTGTGTACGGTGAAGAATTAACACCAAAACAACTAGAAGAAATTGTATGTATTTATAATTGTTACTTTTTTGTTACGTTTTGGTTATTATTTGTTTTTCTTTTAGGCTTATGCAGATGCACAAAAATGCATATCAATGCTTTCAGAAAAATTAGGGAACTCTGAGTTCTTCTCTGGTCTAAAACCAAGTTTGTTGGATGTAAATATTTTTGCCTATCTTGCGCCTCTGTTGAGAGCACCTTTGCCTTCAAACGCTCTGCAAAATTATCTTAAGCATTGTGATAATTTAGTCAAATTTATTAACAGGATATGCGAGATGTATTTTCCAGAAATACAATCAGGTGATGATTTAATTTGATATATATTTCTGTTGTTTATACATACATATATAAATTCATTAATTTTTGGTATTCTAAAGGAACAATTCTTGGATAAAATAGAAATGTTATGGAAAGGCTATGTAAAAACTGATAAAAAATATGTATTTGCTCTGGGAATAATTGTTATTTTTATAGGTTAGGCAAAGCAAATACATACTTTTTGGCAGTTATTACTAACAATTAATACAAAGATAGACCCATAACATAAAAATTACCATAACATTTTTATTTTATCCAAAAATCGGCATAAGTTTTGCTTAGAATTTAAGTTTTGAGACATTTATATTGATGATATAAATGTTTATTACAGAATACATCCAATCGCAAAAGAAATTAGCCGAAGAGACCAGAAGAAACATGCAAAAGGCTCATGAAAAAGGTCAAGGTGATGCTGATGACTTCCCTCACAAGACTCGTTCCTTCTTTCTGGCCGGTATAGTTGCATTTGCAGCCATGGCCGGTTATGCTTTGTCTTTAGGAATTTTACAAGTACGAAAAACATTTAAATATTATACAAAAAGCACTTATATAATCCCGGTTTATATTTTCTAGATTTCAACAGAAAGTGGTGATTCTTATCCGCACGAGATCATCGATGATGATGATGAATAACAAAGACTGTGGCACCATTAAATACCTCGACTAGTCCATTGTGTACTTTTTATGATTCCAAGCAGTATATTTGATAGAGAAATATATTATTATAAATTACACCTTTTGAACTTTTATTTATTGTTTGGTAAATACTGTTTCAGTCCTTTTGTATGTCGAAACGGTATTCCTTTTGTGGCCGATGTTATTTCTTCTAAATATGAATTAAAATTGTGGATTGTGTTGCCTCCGATGACGACACGGTTGCCTAATTGGCTGTTTATGGAATGTACTGCCAGAGATTCTTCATATGTTACTCCGCCGACGATGAACACTACTACTTGCTGGGGGGGCCTCCTGGGAAAGAAAAAATAGTAAAATATATATATATATATATATATATATACTAGCTGACTTATACTAACTATATATATATATATATATATATATATATATATATATATATGTTACGGTAAATGTGAATATTTCGGCGAATGTGCACATTCACCGGTGAATGTGCACATTTACTGGCTTATTTGGCGAATGTGAGTTCAACTATATTTATATTTATATCTATATCTATATTTATATCTATATCTATATCTATATTTATTTCTATATTTATATTTTATATTTTATATTTATATTTATATTTATGTTATTTATTTTAGTCGTATGCATATTAATATCCATTATTTATTATTCACAAATAACTATTAACTATTTATCAATTAACAAATCATCTAATAACTACTAACTATAAACTATTAACTATTTAATTAATAACTATTAACTATTTAACTATTAATTATTACCTATTTAACAATTCTTATTTCACTATTTGCTAATAACTATTTACTATTTTCTATTATCTATTCACTATTTGCTATTAACTATTCAGTTATCACTATTTACTATTCACTATTCACTATTTACTATTACCAATTTAACTATTCTGTTATCACTATTTACTATTCACTATTCACTATTTGCTATTAACTATTCAGTTATCACTATTTACTATTCACTATTAACTATTCACTATTTACTATTAACTATTCTGTTATCACTATTCACTATTTACTATTACCAATTTAACTATTCTTAATTCACTATTTACTCATAACTATTCACTATTTACTATTAACTATTCAGTTATCACTATTTACTATTCACTATTAACTATTCACTATTTACTATTAACTATTCTGTTATCACTATTCACTATTTACTATTACCAATTTAACTATTCTTAATTCACTATTTACTCATAACTATTCACTATTTGCTATTATCTATTCACTATTTACTATTAACTATTCAGTTATCCACAATTCAACTATTTTTAAATCACTATTTACTAATATCTATTCACTATTTACTATTAACTATTCATTATTTAACTATTCAGTTATCACTATTCGCTATTAACTATTAACTATTCTGTTATCACTATTCACTATTTACTATTAACTATTCTGTTATCACTATTCACTATTTACTATTACCAATTTAACTATTCTTAATTCACTATTTACTCATAACTATTCACTATTTACTATTAACTATTCAGTTATCACTATTTACTATTCACTATTAACTATTCACTATTTACTATTAACTATTCTGTTATCACTATTCACTATTTACTATTACCAATTTAACTATTCTTAATTCACTATTTACTCATAACTATTCACTATTTGCTATTATCTATTCACTATTTACTATTAACTATTCAGTTATCCACAATTCAACTATTTTTAAATCACTATTTACTAATATCTATTCACTATTTACTATTAACTATTCATTATTTAACTATTCAGTTATCACTATTCGCTATTAACTATTAACTATTTATCAATTAACAATTTATCTAATAACTATTAACTATGAACTATTGACTTTTTAATTAATAACTATTAACTATTCTTAATTCACTATTTACTCATAACTATTCACTATTTGCTATTATCTATTCACTATTAACTATTCTGTTATCACTATTTACTATTCACTATTTACTATTAACTCTTAACTATTCAATATTAACTATTAACTATTCAGTTATCACTATTCACTATTTACAATTAACTATTCAGTTATCACTATTCACTATTCAACTATTTACCTATTCACTATTTAACTATACACAATTCAACTATTTTTAATTCATTATTTACTATTAACTATTCACTATTTATCTATTTAGTTATCTCTATTCACTATTTACTATTAACTATTCACTATTTACTATTAACTATTCTGTTATCACTATTCACTATTTACTATTAGCTATTCACTATTTACTATTCATCTATTTAACTATTATCTGTTAAACTATTTAGTTATCACTATTCACTATTAACTATTCACTATTTACTATTGACTATTTAATTATTTACTTAAGCTATTAACTATTTACCTATAACTATTGAACTATTAACTATTCACTATTTAATATTAATTATTCATTATACGCTATATTACTAATTTACTATTAACTATTAACTGATTAACTATTTAGTGCGCATGCACCAAATACGCAAGATGTTCATTCACATTCACCAAGAGTGCACATTTGCCATAACATATATATATATATATATATATATATATATATATATATATATATATATATATATTTAAATATATATACCTGTATGTCTGTTGATTTCCAACAGTAGGGTACTGTGGATCCAGTGGTCTCCCCTTGAAAATCTCTTCTAAAATTTCACTCAACTGCGGTTTATGTTGTGTATACACATTGTCGACACCATTTAGGCCCTTAAAATAAACAATTAAAAATAACTATCGACAAGGAAATCAAGGCATAGATAAATAAACATTTTAAAGTTACATCGTAGTACAAATCTCGATTTAATAAAAAATGCCTGAATCAGAAGAATATTTTACCCTGTTCCTTGAAAATAATAAAACAAATTAAACATTTGTGTTGTGTACTAAACGTAAGTTTATCGATTAGAAATTATTTGTATATTATTCGTAGTTTCTATGAATCTTTGATGTTAATAAAATGGAAAATATTTTTAGGCAAGACAAATTCTACAGCTGTTCAAAGAATGAGATTATATCGTAAGCGAGAAAGTAAAAAAAACACAAGCAGTCAATGAATGTATGTTAATTTTAATTACATGAAGTTCTTCAAACACAATTATTACATGATGAGTGACGTTTGCGAAAATGATATTTGTTTAGGCGTTGTTTAACATAATCCACTGTGTGAACGAATATTATAGAATTTATTAATCAGCAATTACTTCATTTCTCTCTAATAAAGGTTCATTTTTAAATGCTAATTACAATGACAAACCGATCATGTCATATTTGAAGTATGCCTTTAATTACATTATTATTTTCAAACATAATAAATATTTTTAATGCTATTATAAATATATAATTAACTTCCCGTAGGGTAAGTTATTGTAATGGGCCGAAAATCGGAATTGAAAATTTTTACATTTCTCGACGTTTTGAAGGTTTCTGAACATTTTGGCATATCTCAGAAAAAATGGATGTGTGTGTGTGTGTGTATGTATGTATATCGATACAATTTTCCGATACGATTTTGGGCGCACGGATCAACCGACTTGAATGGTTCAAAAAACATTCGATTCCTATTGATAGGGAAAAGAGCTGATTAGTTTTTGGCAAAGGCAGGTCCAGCCGTTTCGGAGATACGGAGCAAAGAGTGCAGAAAATAGAAATCGAATTTTTGAGAGAACGGAGTATCCGATTTGAATGATCTAAAAAACATTCAATTAGTAATTATTGGGAGAAGTGTTTATTAGTTTTTGGCAAAGGCAGGCCCAGCCATTTCGAAGATACAGAGCTAAATATGTAAAAAATGGCAGTTTTTGAGAGAACTAAGCGTCCGATTTGAATGATTCAAAGAACTTTCTGCTTGTCTTAACAAAATAATTGATTTTGGAAAAAAAAATTGTTTCAACTTTTTTTTTTTTTTTTTTAATTTATTTTATATAAAAAATAATTCAGATTTTATTTTTAATTCTGACTATAGTTCTAATATACTTTAAACAAATAATTTCAACTATGTAATTCAGTTTATATCATTCTTATAAATATTAGACAATGTTACAATATTTATAATAATCTATTTGAAAAGATTCAGTATTCCTCGAACATTTCGTTACCGTACGGGAAGTTCCAGCAATTTGCCTTAAGGCACGATGCCATAATTGCCTCAAGACAGAATTCCACTTACAGCTAGTTTATAATTTATCATTATATAAATGTGTATAATGATTGACGACACTAATAAATGTGTGCATCACGAGTGTTACCGTATTACTAATAATAAACAATATTCAAAATTGTTATACGATGTATTTATTTTTAACTTAAATGTCATCTTGTACAGTTGCAAATAAGTTTTACTTCAATCACGTGTGAACCTGTTTTTTTACCTATGAGTCTATTCCTCTTACCTTGAATATTTTTTTAGTAATCCTAACAGCATCTCTCGCATCTCTAATGTCACTCCCAAATAAATCTCCTTGCCGAACATGAGATCCTGACCATTCTAGTAAAGCCGGTACCAAACTTGTATTGCAGTCTTTGCGTTGAGACAACATTTCCAATAAACCAATTGTACCATTATTAGTATGCTTCTCGTATCTCAAAGCATACAACAAAACTATTCTTAACGCATCCGAATCTCTCAACTTTGGATTGTTTAATAGTTTCTTCACTCTCTAGATAAAGTATAAATGGTAAAGGAATCTTTTTTTTTTCGATGTTACATTTGTTGTATATGATTTACTTACTTGTAGTTGTTGAGAGTGATCAGATCGACAAACAATGTCTTGTTCTAGTTCCGAAAGTTCCAAAAGTAAATATTCATTAACGCGATTAGATAATTCGCCCACGACTGTGACGTGTTTAGAAACTGTGCCAGACATTTTCTGTAAAAATAAAAATAAACATAAGGCATCGTGCCTTAAGGCAAATTGCTGGAACTTCCCGTACCGTAATGAAATATTCGAGAAATTTTAAACGTTTTCAAATATATTATTACACAAATACTGTAACTTTCATTATTTTTGCTATCTTGTTAAATCTGTGAGCAACTCAAATGTAAAACATAATAAATCAATTTATCTCCAGAACATTAACAATCGTCATTTCATTTCGAATTCAATTTAAAAACAAAAAAAAAGAGTTGCCTAATTTGCACAAAATTGAAAAAGTGCTCCCATATAGTCACAGTCTAAACGCATTTGCATATAATTCTGTGCGACATTTTCACTTATACTGCGCTTAGCTTGGCGGCATTTTCACGTTTTTCAATAGTTTTCACAAAATTGGAAAAATGGTTCATACATAAACAGTCTAAACGCACTTGGGTAAATATTTGTACCAGAGTGGCGCTTAGACTGCGCTTAGCCTGGGTATTTTTTTTGAATTTTTAATCCAAAATTACAAAAATATTTTATAGAAAATAAAAAAAGATGTTAGAATTTTTTATCCTCAAAAGCAATTGTTTTGTCAATACAAGCGAAAAGTATCTCCGTAATGGCTGGACCTGCCTTTGCCAAAAAGTAATTAGCACATCTCCTTATCAATAGGAATCAAATGTTTTTTGAACCATTCAAATCTGTTGATCCGTGCGCCCCAAATCATTGACAAAAAATTGTCTCCACACATACACACACATCAATTTTTTTAGGATATACCAGAATGTTCAGAAACGTCTGAAACGTAAAGATATGCAAAAATTTCCATTTTTGATTCATGGTGTATGGCTTACCATAATTTAAATTTTTTAAAAAGAAAAATTAGATTGTTTTTGAGAAATTTGAATTTCCTAGAACATTTTTAAAAATGTTGAAAAATCTCAATATTGAAAAAAATTGCCATTTGTAAAACCACTGAAATTATTATAAAACGGTATATTTTGGAATTTTTTTTTAATTTTGAAGATTTGATACTTCTTGAAAGTTGTAGATATCCATTCATGCCGGTTGATCCACATGTTATAAATGTTTGTAAAAAAAAAAATCTGAATCTTGGAAATGGCTGGACCTGCCTTTAGCAAAAAGTAATTAGCACGTCTCCCTATCAATACAAATCGAATACTCTTTGAATCATTTAAATCGGTTGGGCGGTGCTTCCGAAAACGTCGACGAAAAATTGTATCCATAGATAGATACACACACACAAATGTTCAGAAACCTCTGAAACGTAAAGACATACTAACATTTTTTATTTCTATCAATAGCAGAAATATAGTTACCTTAAATTCAGGATAATTTTCAACAAAATTCTTCATATCTTTAATGCTTTCAACTTTTTGATGACTCTTTGCTTTCGCTTGGAACTCTTCCATCAAACCTTTAATTGTTTGTCCAATTTCTCCATAATTAGAATACAAATTCTATAAGTTAAAAAAAACTTGTATAAGCAACTAGAATATTTTTAAAATATAATTTAATTTTATGAGAAATAGTAAAAAGGTAAAATAATTTATTTAATTAATAAAGATAAGAATAATTTATTTAATTAATAAAATTTGCAATTGTTTATTTCAAAAATAAAGCATTTGCTTTAATTAAAAAATAATCAAAGCAATTTGCAATTGATATTGTAACACATTTATAATATCTGTAATTGCTTAAGTTGTACTGAATTGAGCTGAATTTTGAAATATATACCTTAGCATAAAACTTGTCATGTTCTGCAGATAAAACTACTTGTTTTAATTCCTTTGGAACTCCTGAAACATCCGATAAATCTACTCGGTTATTGCACAATGTTAACAGTTCATGAACCATCGCCTGGTAAGTCCACTAAAAACAGTAAATAAATACACGTATATATATATATATATATATATATATAAATATATATATATATATATATATATATATATAATTTCTATTACCTGATTCAAAAGAGGAGTAACCGGATCATCTCTCCTATCAAGTATCAACAGTAACGGTGGAGGTGCACCATCAACAGATTTAAAATCAAACAATGAAGACTCTTTATTGATAATGTCATAAGTCTTCTCAGCTAATCGTTTAGCTAACTCACTTCCTGATCTATAACGTATCATAGGTCGTAGCCACAGGGATAACAAAACACTTATAATACCTCTTGTACATCTTTCTAGGGCTGATGGAATCCATGAACCCCCTGGGGTAAAAGATAATAGTAAATGATTATGAATTTGTTTATTTATATTTATTTTATACCTTGTAACGATATAGGTAAGTTTAGTGAGAACAAATGGGATCCACAAGCCAAAAAATCGGCATAAAATTCTTTTACTTCTCTGACTGATTCTGAATCGTCGCTCTCAGCTAAGCTTTTTACGCTTGCATGTGGAATGATGTTGCAGAAATCTGAAAACAATTAGAAACAAATCATCGTTACAATCAAATTAGCAGAGAAGGAATTACAATTCAGTTACTCTTACATATATAATATGATCCATATTTAGGATCCCTCAGTTCCTTTGCCAGCAGTGCAATATTTTCATTAGTAGGCCTCAAAAATACAATACACTTCAAATGTTTCAATCCTTCATCAAGTCTATTCGAATCAATCCGTTCAAACAGATACACCTCCTTTTGTAAAATTTCAGATTTACTGTACACCATACTAACAATACTTGTCTACAAAATTATATATAATATATTATATTGTATTTATTATTATTTTACTCAAATCTTACAGTTTCTTTATCCATTAACAGTAATTTCATTCCTGGTCCAGATTCTTCAGTCATTTTTGATATATACATTTTTACAGCAGTAATTACGTTCATGGTGGATATATATTTTTATAAATAGTTTCTTAATGTAAATAATAAATTATGTTAAATGTTTAAACAGTTATTGTTATATATTTTATCTATATTTATCTATAACCATTTTTTGATTAATTTTGTGTCAACTTTGACATGCAACATCTGACAGATGGATGATGGATGTGAAGATAGCTGCACTTAAATTCAAAACCGAAAAATAGGAATAATATTATTATCATAAATATATTATTATTATAAATAATACATTATATTGCAGTATTATACAAAAGAAAAATTTAAAATGCATTCAAAAAATACATTATAATTACAGAACGTATTCAAATTTGTGTACACTGCTTTTTATAATAATTCATTAATCAGAATAATTTATTGGTGACATGCTTAGGTTTATAAAGAAATATGAAATAAATTCATAAAATACAAAACTATATCTATTTTATATCTCAAATAATTATAATTTTGTAAATATACAATCTTTATTTGAATTTCGCACTTTTATTTTAAAGATGGCGTCAATGGAAGCTGTCAAAAATCAACAAGAATTCTCTAACAAGTCGAAACAAGTAAAAAGATTGTTGCAAAACTTATTTTTTTAATGTAAAATATATATATAAACGTTGTTTTATTGTAGTTTTACTTTGACTGATAATTAGTAGAATATAAGGTAGTGTTTTCTTACATTAGTATTTAAAAATCTGGGTTTGTCATAAAATTTCGTTTAACAGACTTTTTTAAACACAATGGGGAACAAAATTTTGTATAACAGTAATAATTAATCGATTTATATTTGGCTAATGAATCTACTAACTTTATTAGATAGTTCTCTTTTTATAACACTTTCCATTAAATCCTTTGCACATTATCTATATTTATATCGTATGCTTTTGATAAAAGTCTTGTTCCAATGAAGTCTTAAATTATTGAATCTCAATGAAGTCTTAAATTACTCGATCTGGTCGTTTGACCTATGTGGCCATCATAATGTTAGTTTTTTTATATTTTTAGTTAAAATGGCTTTAAAAGACCCTTCTTTAGAACTCCATTTCCGTGGACACAGACAAAGCATATCAGGCTTGAGTTTCCACCCGTCTACACAAAAGATATGTACAAGTTCACTGGATAATACAGTAATGATATGGAATTTTAAAGAATCTATGAGATCGTACAAATTTTTGGGACATACAGATATTGTTACTTGTGTGAATTTCTCGAAAAGTGGACATTTGTTAGCTTCTTCTTCAAGGGACAGGTAATAATAATAATAATAATAATAGTAATAATCATATTATTGATGATATTTATTTATTTGTTATGAATAAAGGTGTAATAATGTTTTTGCAACATTACAGATCAATTCGTTTGTGGGTGCCGAAGCTAAATGGTGGTTGTAAGGAATTTAGAGCACACACAGCTACTGTTCGTTCTGTATATTTCTCTCCAGATGAAACAAAAGTTAGTAAAAATACCCACAAAAACAAAGATTGTTATTAAAATTGTATCATAATCTCAAATATTTGTATTAAACTTGTTTATTTTTAGTTAGTAACTGCCAGTGACGACAAATCTGTAAAAGTATGGGCTGTTAATAGGAATAAATTCATTGCTTCATACACCGGTCATAATAATTGGGTCCGGTGTGCTAAATTTTCTTCGCAACCTCACAGACTACTTATTGCATCTTGTTCAGACGATAAAACTGTTAAAATATTTGACCAAAATAGTAATCAGTGCATACATAGTTATCCAGAACTACATGGTAATAATTTCATGCCTTTAATATATAAAATTAAAGCTTATACTATAAAAATTCATATTCTTTTAGGTTTACCGAATCACATAGATTGGCACCCAAAAAGTGGATATTTAGGAGTGGCTTTGGGCCACGGAACTGTAAAAATATATGAAATACGTATGCACAAATTAATACAGCATTATCGTTTACACAGTGGCCCCGTGTGCCAAGTAACATTCCATCCGGATGGTAACTGGATGTTAACAAGCAGCAGCGATGGTACTGTTAAGGTAATTTAAAATTTAGCATCAATTTAAATATACTCAACAATTTTATTATACAATCACTATTTATTTTAGGTGTTAGATTTACTAGAAGGACGTCCAATATATACTTTAACCGGACACGAAGGTGCTGTGAATTGTGTAGGATTTTCGAAAGATGGTGAATATTTTGCAACAGGCGGAGCTGATAAACAGGTAAATAGTAAAAAAAAAATGGTTATATATATATATATATATATATATATATATATATATATAATTTTTTTTTGTAGTTGATGGTTTGGAAAACTAATTTCAATGCCGTGACTGATGCGTGTGCTAATGAGGATGATAAAAGTGACACAAACGGACATAATTTAACTGTAATGGACACTCAGTGGGTACCTGGGTCAGACGATTGAGATTATATATTGTTATAATCATTTTATTTTTTACTATTTTATATATCATTTTAACATTTTATTTATGACTCTCTAAGCATTTTACCCATTTTATTAGCAATTATTTGTGACCACAAATTGCTTTATTAATTTTATCTAATACCTAATATTATGCTTGATATATATTTAGGGACTTATGGCTGTATTTTAAGTTATTGTTGTTTTATATTTATTTTTAAATACAAAAATGTTTGAACATAACCCAACTTTTTTTTAAATTTTAAAATCTGTTAATGAATGATCTTTGGTGAAATATATATTATTTAGACACACAATTTGTTGCTGTGCATAATAAAATAATTATCAATTTGTTTAAAAAAATAATAATAGTTATTATAAAACACTTATGAATTGTGTGTAATATCTTGATGTAAATCTAAATAAACTTTAAATATAAATTCAATATAGTTGTTTTTATATTTAATAATTGTGAAAAAGTAGAGAAGCTTATTAGGCAGATGAAAAACTATAGTGCTAATAAATACTAATAAGTATTCAAAAAAAACATACCCATATGTATTAATGTATTAAGTTTTTACCAGTTTAAATAAAAATCAAAGATTTTATACCATTAATCCAGTTTGTAGATTACTAATTCAAATACGAAATAAATAATCCAGGCTCTTGATGAATAATTGGGAATCTACATTGATAATTAAGATTGTAGACAATTCCTCCAAATTATTAATTAATACAAATATCTTTTATAAATGCCTTATTTTCGTCTTTTTATGAATTGTGTCTTCGTAACATAGTAAAACAGCCTGTCTGAAAATTAAATTAGTTTGCATGTTGATTTTATGTAATATTTATTATATTTTGAGGAAATTCACATCCCGAGATAAATATTTGAACATATTGAGATAAATGTGAAGTAAATACCGTCTTCAAATCTTTTAAATAATACATTACAAGTGAAAAGTTTAAAATGATTATTAATTGCACACGTTTTTTTCTTCTCAAATTGATTAAAAACATATAAATTTACCTGATTATGTGTAATATCTTAATATAAACCTAAACAAATATAATTTATTATATATTCAATATAGTTGTTCTTATAATTAATAATCATGCAACGATAGAGAAGTTTATGCATGCATATGCTTGTTGCCGATTAAAAACTATTGTGTACTAAATACTAACAATTTTTTTATTGAATTAAGTAATTATTTACATACACTTTGTATTAATGTATTGAGTTCTTACCAGTTTAACCAGACAAAAAATCCATATTCTAGAAAATTAATTCAGATTGTAGACAATAACTTAATGTTATATAATTGCAATTATCCTTTATAAATCATACAACGTCTTGTTTTGGACTTGTGCAAATGTTTATATCTTAATAATTTCTTTATCTAAACCTAAATAAACTTAATTTCAATAAAATTCATTATAGTTGTTTTTATAATTATTAATCGTGCAAATTAGAGAAGTTTATGCATGCATATATGCTTGTTGCCGATAAAAAACTATTGTGTACTGAATACTAACAAGTATAATAATAAATTAAGTAATCATTAACATACCTATTGTGCTAATGTATCAAGTTTTTGCCAGTTTAACCAGTAAATACAAATATCCTTTATTATATTGCACCTTGCTTTATTGCACTTCTTTGTGAATTTTGTCATCATAAATAGTTATTTTTTTTCATAGTCAGTACTCATCTTTATAGTACCTAATATCTTCATTTAAACCTATATAATCACAATTTCATTATAAATACATTATAGTTATTGTTTATAATTGATAATTGTGTAAAAATAGAGAAGTTTATGCATGCATATGCTTGTTGCCGATAAAAAACTGTGTGTACTGAATACTAATAAGTTTATGAATGAATTAAGCTATTATTTACATACCTATTGAATTAATGTATTACATTTTTACCAGTTTATCCAGTGAATATAGGTAACCATAATTATAAAATAATGTGTTATACTTGCTTTATTTGTACTTCTCTGTGAATTTGGTCATCGAACAGGGTTATGTTATTCTCATTACTCATTTGTACATAATATTTTCATTCAAACCTATAATCACAATGTCATTATAAATTCAATATAGTTGTTCTTATAATTAATAATTCTTGCAAAAATAGAGAAGCTTATGTATGCAAATATGCTTGTTGCTATGCACATCAAAAACAGATTAAAAACTAATGTGTACTAAATACTAATAACTTTTTAATACAAATTATTAACATACCTATTGTATTGATGTATTAGGTTTTTATGTTTTTGTACTCAGTCAACACAAATAATCATATTTAATGTTTAAATTCAAATAGTACTTCTT